GAGTTCCCTTGTTACTGTACTTACAAAGACGCCCGCCTCCGAGACTATACGATCAAAGGTGTCGCTCACCAGCGAGTTCATGATCATCATGCTCTTCTTGGATATACCGGTCTTAGGATGCACTTGCTTCAACACCTTGAAGATGTAGCTGTTGAAGGTCTCCTTCCTGGAAGATCTACGCTTCTTATCAGCAGCAGGCTTGCTGGCGGCGGCAGTTTTGGGAGCCATATTAGGATTTAGAGAGTCAGTAGAATATTATGTAGTTCGAAAACATCTGAACATTGTCTCGGCCCTCCGAGAAACTTCTAATACAAATCTCGTAAAAATGCTGAGGAACATAAAATTTAATCGGCAACATTACGAATCCTTTCCTCACATCATTTGTGCAATAATTGCGTTCCTGAGATACTTCAATTGGTGTTTAGATGGCGCCAAAAAACGCCTTGAAACGAGTTCAGCAGGTTAGTGCCTCCAGCTGCATAAGCCCGAGGGGATTATTTACATCTCCTGGGAAGCAGTAAAGCTCTTGCCCTTACTCTTTTTGGGCAAAAGAGTAGTGTGGATGTTGGGTAAGACACCACCACTCGCAAGAGTTACACCAGCGAGGAATTTGTTCAGTTCCTCATCGTTGCGGACAGCCAATTGAATATGACGAGGAATGATCCTAGTCTTCTTATGATCACGCGCAGCGTTACCGGCGAGCTCGAGAATCTCAGCGACGAGGTACTCCAAGACTGCAGCTAAGTAAACTGGCGCCCCAGAACCTACGCGTTTGGCATAACGCCCCTTCTTGAGGTATCTCGCGATACGGCCAACAGGGAACTGTAGCCCGGCCTTGGCGGACCGAGACTTAGCTCCGCTGCCACTCTTCTTGCCAGCCTTACCGCGTCCACCTTTGCCTTTGCCAGACATGTTTTGTTTATAAGCGAGTGTGAGAATGTGGGATATGAAATGACGATGCGATATCATCCAGTGGCGCCTCACGCTCATTTTGATGAAAAAAGTGAAAAGTAACCGTCAGCTCCGCTGAAATCAATCGTAGACTCGGGGACTTTACTAAAAAACGTGTGAC